GATATCCAGTATTTTTTGTTAACATGAACTGCATCATGCCTCGATAGGTTTTAAAGGTTACATTGGCTGGATTTACCAATGTTTTTAGCTTTTCAGCAGTAAAAGAACCAGATGGTAAGGTAAATAAAAGGTTGCGATCTCCATGGCACTGAAGAATAGGAATATCTCTGTTAACACCACTAATAGGACCCTGTGGAAATGAAATGCATAGTGGAAGCCAGCAACTGAAAACAGTGACACCTGCCAGTTTTTGCTCTGTGGTCAGAGTAACGTGTAAAGATAAAGCCTCTCCCTGAGAAAATACTCCTAGAATAATTCTGTTAGAAGGCATGCCATTCTTCCCCTGTCAATCTCTCAAAGCCTTTACATTATCTGCTGATTGTTTAATTCCAGGTTCATATTCCCGTGAATCTGGTGAAAGGCCAATGGCATCAAACCAAGAAGGCATAGCGATGTTCATATTAAATGTTACAGGCATAACTGGTGCATGTGATTAGATATATTTGGTATGTGAACTTCTCATACCTGTAAATTCTTATGCCCATCCACACCGCAATGGTGACCTTGCGGGCGGCGGGCACAATGGCCGGAAGCGGAGCAGACGTGTTACTGCCGCACCTACTCCAGCAGCACTGACAGTGCGTGTTGCAAGTTGAAGGAAAAGCGGGCGCCCAGCCGCGGCCCAAGGGCATGTGAGTGTTGTGTCTCCACCTGACCCACTGGATGCCCCCTTGTTCTTTCATTTAATGGCTAGGTTTCTTGGGCAATTTATTGAATTTCCTGGTCTCCATAAAGGAAACTGGATCACCTTTTATTGTCACATCAGAAGGAATTCTAAAGAGAAAAATGTACTAATGACAATCCAGGAAGGGGTGGTAACACAGCCTGTATAGAAAGAGCTAAAAAGGATTATCTAGTCCAGTCTTTAAAGGAACTCAAGCCCTTACAAGTTAGGGTGTTTTGTCCAAGATTCTAGGTTTTCATCTTGCTGGAGAATAGGCAGTGCAGCCCTGTGCATGTAAATTGTACCGAAATCACATGCAGATAAAATATATCGTGCTTGAATTTAATGTTTTAGACATTTCAGTAAATAAAGAACACCATACAAATTAAAATAATGTATCTTTATAGTCCCTGTGGACAGCACCCTCTACACCACTGCTAGGGCAAGAGGGGTACAGAGTACATTTGATGTACTTCTCTCCCACTCCTGACTTCATCTAAATATAGTGAAGTCTTACACTTTGAGGCCTTTCTATGAGCCACATTCATACTTTGTAGACTATTAGGCATTTATTTTCAGAGACACTGTTGACATAATGGAAAAGTAGTCTGTCTGAAAATAAAATAACAGCATTGGTTCCTAATGAAAGATTCCGAGAAAAAAACAAGCTGTTGACGCCTTGGAACAATGTGAGGAGAACACGGAGGTGGTGGTATTCATTGGCGGGGACGACGTGAAAGGAGAGCAGCGCAGACCCGTAATCAGACTGCTACCAGCAATTTCCTGCTCTACGGAGTCTGTGCCTGTTTTTGCTCACCACTGTATCCCTAGAGCTAGCAAAGTGCCAAGCACATAATAGGCCCTCAGTAAATATTTGTTGAATAAGTAAATGCTATTTTAGCTTTCTGCCCAAAGATTTGGCATCCAGAACAGTATTGTGATAATCACTGTGTATTTTCTTCTAAAAGAAACAAAGGCGCTGCTTGTTTTTGTTTCCTTTGAGACTTTAGACCTGAAAAATCTCTTTGCAATCTAACATTCAAAGAAAAAGTTTTCTATTACTATCCCAAAGGGGAATATTTTTGTTTGTGCTAAGTGTGGTTACCCAGATTTAAAACACCTAAATAGAAGTTACTACATAAGGAAGTGTGTTCCAGTCTGCAGCATGAAAACAATGTAGGATAATACAACTTTTTTCCGTAGTATTTATATACATAGTTTCTGTATTTCCTTATATCTTTTATAAATAGGAGGTACGCTAAAGCAGTAGAAAGTATATCAAACCATCTAGTGAAAAACTGTTTTTTGCTTTTGAAATAAGTGTTAAGAACAATTTCTCATTCAATACATTGATAAATTCACTTCATTTTGGGAAAAAATAGCTCAAAACCAGGTCTTGTTTAAGAGATACCAGATACAGTGTATTTAAACCTTAAGGAAAAAAATCCCTCTCCTTTTTGAAAAAGTTTTGTACTTTATCAGAAAAAGTATAGTACTGTCCAATGGAATGTTCTTTTCTACTCTGTCTTGTATGGCAGCCACTAGCCACCTTGGCCATTGAACACTTGAAATAATGCTACTTCTATTTTTTAAAAAATTCTCATACAGTAAAATTGGCTTACTTCCGGTATACAGGTCTGTGAATTTTTTTTAGTTTGGTGAATTTTAACAATTTTTTAAAACTTTGCCAAATGTATAGATTAATTAATTACCACCACAACCAGGTTAGCATAGTCCCATTGCCCCCAAAAGCTCCCTTGTGCTTGCCTCTTTGTAGTCACTCCTCTCCCATCCCTCATCTGTTCTCCATTTTCCCCTTCAGTTTGAATGTTTATATTTTTTAAAGATGCAAAGACACAAAAGCTTTCATTTTATAGTGGCTATATTTATATTTCATCTCTTTCAAAAGCATATGTCTGAAGTATATGTGGTTTGGCTATTCTGCAGCTTATTCATAGGAAATTTTATATAGTGTAATCCAAAACAAAATATATATTGTTTTCCTGTTCTTCTGTTTTAGATCATTTATGCTGGTGATCTCTTTTATAACTAAGAGCAAGCTGATCAACCAGAATTATCAGTCTTAGAAACTTCCAATGCCCTGGCACATGTCAAGATTTCACCAAATACATACCCAGATAACCAAAGCTAAAGGAAGAAATAAATATATGAAGTCCATTAAAATGAGCGAAATATTTAACTATAAAACTATTGTAGACCATTTAAATGAAATTTCCTACTTGGAATTACTTTTAATTATATTTTGGTGATATTTTCATTTTATGGAGCAAAAATTTTCACCAGAAATCTCTAATAATAATATTCATATTTTAACTGTCTTTAGAATTTTAATACCTTACTGCCTCTCAAAATCAGCAGGTCTAAAATTTAATTTATCACCTTGCTTTCCCTCCACTCTAATGTAACTTCCTCCAGTTTCCTCCTGTCTTCGGTAGCAGTTGATGGCATCACCATCCCTCTACTGACTCAAGCCAGAAACCTATAAGTCATCCCGTCATCTCCTTTGCCCTCTGTAATCTCCTTACTAGATCTTGCTTCATGTATCTTGGAACTTCCCTGTTTCTCTTTGCCCAGTGTTCAGTCCTCAATTCAGACCTGTTGTACAATTATTGCAATTGCAAAAGTCTCCTAGTTGATCTCCTATGTCATTCCACTACACCCAAATATCATCTTCCACAGTGCCTCCAAAATGATTCCTCTCTGAAGTACTTTTTCATGGCTCCCTATTACCTTTAGGATAAATGAGACCATTATTGGGTAAATTAGTCACAAGGATGTAAATGCAGCATAGGAAATACAGACAGTAATACTGTGACATTTTTGTATGTTGTCAGATGGTAACTACACTTATTGGGGTAAGCATTTAATAATGTAGATAAATGTTGAATCACTATGTTGTACACCTGAAACCAATATAATAGTGTATTTCAACTGTACTTATTAAAAAAAAGAAGCAATTATTGGCCTTAAAGAGGCCCCATAATAAAGCAGTTGTCTAATTCTCTAGCCTGTCATCCTTCTTGACTTTTGTGCTTCCATTTGTCTGGAATTCCCCTGCTTCATATATTTCTGTCTGTCCTTTAACATTCAGGTATTATATCTCTCTTAAGCCTTTTCTGACCCATATTCTTAGGGATGAATCAGTGTCTGTTTTCTGTATTCTCTGTTCTAGTACTGCTCCCTGTGACTGTATTATGCTCAGCTTTGTATCCTGAGAATCCCAGTTCCTGGCATATATAAGTGCTTGATTAATATTAGTTGTTCAGTATTTACTTTTATGTAACTCTCTGCTACAGAGAACTTCTTTCCTATGTATTTATTCCTAAGATCCTTAGAACAACCATGGAAGGTATATTTCCCCATTTTTCATATGGCAGAACTAATGAGTGTAGTGGGCTAATAAGTGAATAATTGATACTGGAATTAAGATCTTTTGACTTCCAACTCAGTGTATTTGTGACTACATCAAAAATCTTTGTAAGATGTCAGCCAAAGAGATGCTTGCAGTCATGGTAGTAGTTGAACTATATATAGTAGCTGAGCTTTGCAAATACAGTCATTGTTTAATAATATGGGTAGTTGTTGAACCACAGTGTTGTATACTTGAAACCAATATAAGATTGTATATTAATGATACTTGAATAAAAAATATACAATCATTGTTTTGATAATTGAATCAGGCAAAACAAAGATGCTCTTATTTTGAACAAAAGTAATATTAGGCTATAGTAACTGAGAAGGATATAGGAGGAATATATGCTGCAAAATCCTATGAATATATTGCCTTCATTCATAAACTAGCATGTTTATATCTTTTCTTACCAACAAAGTTACCTTAATTGAACACTTGGAAAGTTTAAATTTCGTATCATCCTTTGTTTTCTGTAGCTGATCCTGTTTCCTTTATTACCTTTTGAATTGGTAGAGAGTGAGGTGTTAGAGTAATTTGTGAAAGAAAATAGGAAAGTAGTTTGTACTTTGTTGTGAAATTCTAGGTTCTGTTTGTCCATGTGTGTGTTTCAAATGCCTGATTCATACCTGAGTCATGTACACCTACACATAGCTTTATCATTCCTGTAGGTACTCAAGACATTTTGTGTTCTTTCCAAAGAGAATGCTAAAGATGAGAACTAATAGAGAAGGTCCATTAGATTGAATTGTTTAATTCTTCTTGAATGTGGTACAGTGATTGTTATTTTTAAGTTTTACATGATGTAATTTAATTAAACTGTCTTTTGAAATTTCCTTCCAAAAGGTTTCACTGGAAGAAAAAAATGCAACTATTATTTATGACCCTAAACTGCAGACTCCAAAGACCCTGCAGGAAGCTATTGATGACATGGGCTTTGATGCTATTCTCCACAATCCTACCCCTCTCCCTGTTTTAACTGACACTGTGTTTCTAACTGTTACTGCTTCACTGGCTCCCCTATGGGACCATATCCATAGCACATTGCTCAAGACCAAGGGTGTGACAGACATTAAAATTTCCCCTCAGCAAAGAACGGCAGTGGTGACAATAATCCCTTCTATAGTGAATGCCAATCAGATAATAGAGCTGGTTCGGGATGTCAGTTTAGATATTGCAACTCTGGAGAAAAAGTCAGGAACTTGTGAAGATTACTGTATGGCTCAAGCAGGTGAAGTCATACTGAAGATGAAAGTGGAAGGGATGACCTGCCATTCATGCACTAGCACCATTGAAGGAAAAATTGGGAAGCTGCAAGGTGTTCAACGAATTAAAGGTAATATGTCTGGTGTTACTTGTTTGATTCCTTTGTAAGGATTAGTTTTCTGTTTTGGCCTTTTAACTTTTGCTTGCTTCTTAGGCATTAGTTTTGAATTCGTGGGACTAGAATGCTTACTCTTACTGTATCATTTAAGTCTAAGGGGCAGCGTATTCCAAGGATTAATGTCAGTGAAGTTAATGACTATAATTAAAAGTTGTGTGAGTCCTGAACTAACAGAAAAGGCAGCTGGTGTGTCAATTCATGGAGTTCAGGGCTCTTAACATGCGTGGGTTTCTCTTTACCTCAAAGATACTTCTATTCAGGCATGCGGAAACTTGGAGACTGCAGACAGAGTGGTCATATCTTTTCCTTTTTCCAGTCTGTGTCAGTAACATTTTCTGAAAAGAGCAGAATTGTTTTAAGAAAGGATAAAGACAACGAGAAAGAAACAGTTATGTATGGCATTGATTTGGTCTACAGTGTTTTCTGAAGTAGCACAGGAATAACTGAATTAAGTAGTTCTTTTTCTTTTTATTAACTAGTCTCCCTGGACAACCAAGAAGCTACTATTGTTTATCAACCTCATCTTATCACAGTAGAGGAAATAAAAAAGCAGATTGAAGCTGTGGGCTTTTCAGCATTCATCAGAAAACAGCCCAAGTACCTCAAATTGGGAGCTATTGATATAGAACGTCTAAAGAACACACCGCTCAAATCCTCAGAAGGATCGCAGCAGAGGAGTCCATCATATAGCAATGAGTCTGCAGTCACTCTCATCATAGATGGCATGCATTGTAAATCATGTGTATCAAATATTGAAAGTGTTTTATCTACACTCCAATACGTAAGCAACATAGTAGTTTCTTTAGAGGGTAGATCTGCCATAGTGAAGTATAATGCAGACTCAGTCACTCCAGAAACCCTGAGAAAAGCAGTAGAGGCCATATCACCAGGGCAATACAGAGTTAGTATTAAAAGTGAAGTTGAGAGTACCTCAAACTCTCCCTCCAGCTCATCTCTTCAAAAAATTCCTTTGAAATTAGTTAGCCAGCCTCTGACTCAAGAAACTGTGATAAACATTGATGGCATGACTTGTAATTCTTGTGTGCAGTCTGTTGAGGATGTCATATCAAAAAAGGCAGGTGTAAAATCTATACGAGTATCCCTTGCAAATGGCAATGGGACTGTTGAATATGATCCTCTACTAACCTCTCCAGAAACCTTGAGAGAAGCAATAGAAGACATGGGATTTGATGCTACCCTGTCAGGTAACTGTCACTTTTTTCTTTGATTCCCCTAATATTCCTTCATCTCCATTTTGCTGATTGTTTTGGCTTTTAGCAATGAGAAATGAGTAACAGGCACTACAGTTCCATTTCTCAGAAATAAGTCTTATGGAGTTAGTCAGCAATGTATATGAAGATGTAGAAGGATATTTGTGTAATTTAAAATATTTAAAAACTAGAAACATTAAATAAATCAGGATTTCATCCATATGATGAAATGCTACAAAGCCAGAAAAAAATGAGTGTCAGGTATTTTGTTAAATGGAAAAAAAAATAAAAAGCTGTATATTTAGTAAGATCAAAATTTTATAAACACGTGATAAGGATTTTACCATGTATATATGATTATAAAATATAATCATATATATAATGTTATGAATATAATGTTATTTATGTATATGAATGAATATTTCTGGCAGAACATAACTAAAATTTGAACATTGGTTACTTGTAAATGGTAGGATAAAGGTGATTTTTGTTTTCATTGTGCTTTCCTATTTAAAATTTTTTATTTGTGACAAGGATATATTTATGTATTTATGTATAATTGGAGAAGCAAATGTTATTGTAAAAAGAAAAATAATAGAATTTTAACTGTATTTTTTTTGGTATCATTAATACACAGTCACATGGGTAACATTGTGGTTACTAGATTCCCCCCATTATCAAGTCCCCACCGCATACCCCATTACAGTCACTGTCCATCAGCGTAGTAAGATGCTGTAGAGTCACTACTTATCTTCTCTGTGCTATACTCCCTTCCCCGTGCCCCCCCCCACATTATGTGTGCTAATCGTAATGCCCCTTATTCCCCTTCTCCCTCCCTTCCCACTCACCCTCCCCAGTCCCTTTCCCTTTGGCAACTGGTAGTCCATTCTTGGGTTCTGTGAGTCTGCTGCCGTTTTGTTCCTTCAATTTTTGCTTTGTTCTTATGCTTCATTGATGAGTGATTGGTACTTGTCTTTCTCCGCCTGGCTTATTTCCCTGAGCATAATACCCTCTAGCTCCATCCATGTTGCTGCAAATGGTTTAACTGTAGTTTTAAGTTTAAGCGTTCAAATTAAACTGACTCCAGAACTGGCCCAAAGTCTTCCTGACAGCTCTTACCTTGAACTGAAACTGAAAATATGTATCTAATAGAATTTGCCTCTTTGAGCTTGTTTTGAACTGTTTAGAATTGAGCCGAGCTTTAAATTAAACTAGAAATGTCCCAATGAAATTTACTGCTGTAAATAACAGTGGAAAAGTTGAACTAATTTTCAGATAATGTCATTAACCCTTGCTGTTCAAAAGAGAATCAAGGATATCAAATAGTAATATTCTCCTTTCAAGCTCACTTACATTGAGAAGAACAAAAATTATGTTAAACTCATGGTTAAATTATTATGGCAGATAAAGGTCAGTGAAGGAGAACCCACAGACTTACGAAACATTCTTATTTTTCATGTTCAAGACAAATGGCAGGAATGATAGAATTCTTACTTTTAAAAGTGAAGATATAGATCACATACATTAAAATTTACCCTTACACAATTCAGTGAGATTATGTTATATTCATAGAGTTTTGCAACAATTTCTACTATCTGATTTTAGAACATTTTCATCACTCCCAAAAGAAATCCCATACACATCAGTCACTCTGTATTTCCCCTTCCCTCCTTTAGCCCCTGCTATCTATTGTATTTTCTGTCTTCATGAGTTTGACAACTCTAGGTACTATGTAAATGGGCTCATAGAATATTTCACCTTTTGTGTGTAACTTCTTAAACTTAGCATAATGTTTCCAAGGTATACATATGTTCATCCACGTTCATAACATGTATCAGTACTTCATTCCTTTTTATTACCGGAGAGTATTCCATTATATGTATGTACCTCATTTTGTTTTTCCATTCATCGGTTGTTGGAAATTTGAGTTGTTTCCACTCCTTGGATATTATGAATAATGTTGCTGTGAACATTTGTATACAAGTATCTTCATGAATATATGTCTTGATTTCTCCTGGGTATATACGTAGGAATAGAACTTTTGGGTCATATGGTGAATATGTTTAACTTTTTCCAGGAACTGCCAAACTGTTTTCCAAAGTGGTTACACCATTTTACATTGCCATCTAGTATTCTCACTTTAATAAATAAAATCTCAAAAGACCAAGATTCTTGTGCTCTAAAAGAGATATATAATTCCCTATTAGAAAATTCATGCAGAATACTAAAATGTCAAAGAGCCTCCTGTACTACAAGTGTGAACAAACTATAGGAAATCTATAATTTCAAAAGGAAATAACTGTGGAACCAGAAGAAAAAAATTAAATTAGAAAATACCGGAAATGAAACTATCCATAAAATGAAAATTAGCCATAAAAAATGACTAAAATTAGTTTTTGCAAAATCAGTTGTATCTATCATCACCTACAATTTTTTGAAGTATTCAAAGTGACGGTATTTAAAACTATATTCATTCACACTTCACTAATTCCTAATGTTGAATTAGTCCTCAGGGTTTCTATTAATACTTAGGCACACATAGACACTACATAAGTAACTTTAATCTGCATCAGTATCAGTCAACCAGGTCATTTACACTGTGTTAGTTCTATGCCTCTTACATATAGGAACTTAAATCATATCAATCTTATATCACATATGGTATAAAACTGAAATATTTTTCATGATCAAATCTGTTATCTGTCATTACCATAAGCAAGGACCTCACAAACTTTCCGACCGCAAAACAGAATTTGTCCTGTTCACTTGGTTCTGTATTTTTGCAACTGAAAGTATGGCTCACAGATCTGCAGCATCAGCATTACCTGGGAGCTTGTTAGAAATACAGGCTCTCTGGCCCACTGCAGACCTATTAAATCAAAATCTACACTCTAATTTTAATAAGCTCTCCGGGTAATTTGTGTTAACGTTAAAGTTTGAGAAGCACTGGTTTAAATGATTTGCTTTACTGACCTCTAAGAATAAAATTTCTGAATTAAATTATGTTAGCATTGTTATCTAACATAATGATAATATAACATTAAATAATATAACTTAAAATAGCATTTATTAGGTTTCATATAACAAATATAAGCAGAGCAAAAGCAACTTTCCAATTACCTTAGGTGGCGTTGCAGATGGAGTAGTACTCTTGCACCATATCTACCTTCAACCTAGTCCTCAGGGATGATGAATTAAGCATGTTCAGTAACTTTTAACAGTGGCAAATATCTCAGGCTACTATTGTCCAGAGGCTCAGGAATCAATTATTCAACAAATAATTACCAGGAGCCTGTTATGTGTCCTGAATCTGTTAGGGCTTACAGCAAACACATTAATGGCCATGATGAGTAGGTAAAAAAAAAACCTTGGCAGTGAATAGCACCATAAAAGAGCCTAGAGCTGTGACTACAGTGATCCGTATTATTGGGATAAAACGTTGATGCCAAATGATTGTGTTCCATGTTTCTGCTAGGTATCAGAGTTAAAGATGCTTCCAGAATTGCGGCTACTTGTCAGTGCTGATCCAATGGTAGTCTGTGACCCACTACCACTGTGACTCATTCCCAGACAGACAGGGCACAGCACATTTTGCTTGCATATCATACTAGTCCTGGGTGGGCTCTAAATGTTAGAGGAGGTAGTGAGAAAAATGAGAGGTGCTTTTTATTATGACCATTAATTTCATCATTCTCTTAAGAAGACATATATGAAGTTAAGTCTTTTCTAACCAATTATAGCAAACAAATAATTACATTCCGTTCCTTTTTTGTAAGTTCTAAATCTTTAATTTCAGACTTGCAGAAAAGCTGCAGGAATAGTATAAAGAATTCCTGTTTACTAACTTCACTCAGATTCCCCAGTTAATATTTTACCACATTTGTTTTATCATTATTTCTCTGTAGACAGATATATACATACGCACAAACATATATAGATGACTTTTTGTGAATCATTTGTAAGTTACAGACATGATGTTGATCGTTGTTTTTAAGTTACTTTCTGATTATGTATTTACTCTTCTCATTATTTCTGGCACTGAAACTACCAGTCTTAAAGATCAGATTGGAAGCTCCTGAAACTTTTGGAGTCTTTTCTGATTGTTGCCTCAAGTGTAGGAAAGTTAACCTTCCTTTTGAATTCATTTAAGCACAAGTAATATTGCTACAGCCTATATAGAAAAGCTAATTTAAAGAAACTAACCAAGTAATTCATTGTGGCTTTTTAACACCTGCACTGCCTCTGGGGAAGACAGAAGCTTTTGCTTTTCTGCTTGCCTCACTCACTGGGGTAAAGGTCACGATTTTATGAATCTCTGTTGAGAGGTCATGCATGCCAAGGTAGCCAAAAGGAACTACTACTACCTTAGTGACTTATTTTAATACGGGACTTCTAGACTCTGAAAATTGTAGATGATATTTTGGACCACCGCTGGTACCTGAAATAACTTAATTTCTTTGGAAATTTTCCTGAAATCTGGGATGGGCGGTATTAAAACCGTAAGTCACTTCCTGGCAAGTGTAAAGATAACATTGCTAAGAGCTCTAGGTACTTGCTGGTTTTAAAGGAATGAATTGATGGTGCCTGGAGGTGTGGATTGCAATGAAGTATGCAGCTGGAGAACACCAGAAATGAAAAGACTCTTTTCCTGTCCACCAGATACAAATGAGCCCTTGGTAGTAATAGCACAGCCCTCATCAGAAATGCCACTTTTGACATCAACTAATGAATTTTATACTAAAGTGATGACACCAGTTCACGACAAGGAGGAGGCAAAGACTTCATCTAAGTGTTACATACAGGTTACTGGCATGACTTGTGCTTCCTGTGTAGCAAACATTGAACGGAATTTAAGACGAGAAGAAGGTGAGACACTCTTAAAAACGATTATTTTGTGTACTAGTTTGAGAATTCGGTTCTTTTGTTCTCTTATGTGTTTTGTAACCATTTTTATGATTCTTGCAAAGGCCCATAAAGACTATCAGTGATGTGCAGGACAACCTTGACTTCCTGACAGCCAGTTTTTGTTAGTGTTTTGTTCCCTTAGATACAGTTCCTATCTTGTTTACCTCAGGATCACATTTTAATATCAGTGAAATTTGTAGGAAAATAGCAGAAGGAAATACATAAGATTACTATTCTGTATGGATCTTGGCTGCAGTGGATTTTAAGAAACATACCAATTTTTTTGATAATGGCTATCTATGGTTATTTAAAACTAACAACTAGAATCCCTGAGTTTCAATATTATTATACCTGGACCAAGCACCAGACCATAATCAAGTTTCTTTAGAATTATATTGTTCTCTTCCAACAGTTCAATTGCTAATCTTTGTTGGCAGTAAAAATGTTCAAAAATACTTAATGTTGTGTATAAGTTTTAATTATAGGTTATAAAAAATAAGAGCTATCCATTAACAAACTACTACTCCCAACCTGGTGTTTGCAGTAGAGAAAAATGGCTGGGAGAACTTGATATAACCAAGATTTCAGCCTCTACTGTATCTAATTAGAATGCAGTCAAGGCTAAAGCTTATGTTACGCCTTGTTTAAATAAAAAAGAAAGGGAGGGAGGTTGCAAGCAAATGAGAGCAAAAAGAAATTTGCTAGGTTTCTGTTTAATTTTAGAATCAACTATTTTTGGGTAATTCAGAGAGAGCCCTTTTCAGGTGGCAAGCAATGCTTATGTAATTACAAATCCTTTTTTAAAAAAATCCATTGAGCAGATTCTTCCAGTTAGTCCCTACTATCCCCTTTACCACCTCTTAACCCAATTAGGAATACCATTGGCCTGGTGGGGTCACTGCATTCACTTTTTTTTTAAACTAAGTAAATACTACTACTCTCAATTTAGTTTGCATAATGTTTCTGAAAATGAATAGAAAGACTTCTAATTATAGCTTGAAGTGATAATTTTTTAAATTTACAAAATTTATGTAAGTATGAAAACTTTTTGAAAATTGAAAAGTCAGATTTTCCCTTCTATTTCTGTTTGGCTATAAATTACATTCAACTGAAGCAGTAAGATTTTTCCTACTTTCTCTATACCCTTCTCTTATTCCTGACACTTTCCTGTGAACAGATCCTTTGAATTTATTTTGGTACCCACAAAACCCAGAGTGTAAGTACTCTAGATGGAAAACATAGCTTATGTTAGGTACTTAATTTTCTTACTAAAAACCATTATTAGATTAATACTTGGATATTTTTCTTCTTGTCAAACCCCCGAGGTGAACTATGGACTGTTGATCCCCATTTCCTGTCAGGTAGCCAACAAGTGCCACAGATTCTTAGAAGGAGCAGCCATTTCTGCTGTGTGGAATTAGTTTTCTTCCTGGCAATAACAGCAGTGACTGGCCTAGAGAAGTGGGGTGGATTACACCAGAGAACAGCATGACTGCCCTAAAATGAACTCCTTTGTTCTTTTAACAAGTTATGTGGCACTTTTTTTTCTAGGAATAAGAGCATTTTAGATTAGTGTGTACCAGATAGTAAAACTGGAGAATTTTAAGAAATGACCATTATTTGATAATATTATAATGTGTATATTAAAACATTCTTGGGTTCTTTGCTATAATTGCAGTGATTCCTAAGTGTATGAGTTCCTTTCTCTGAGACTCTGTCTTATTAGTTTCTAAAAATGCTGTATATTTACATGATAATGTCTCAACTGATTATAATTCATGGGCCTCATTTAGATTTCAATTCAAACAAACAAACTAATACACAGTTATTAGATAATTGTGTAAATGTGAATACTGTCTGGGTATTGGGTGATACTGAGGAATTATTTTAGGTGTGATAATGGTATTATGGCAGTTTTTTAAATATAGAAGAGTATTTTTTAGAGATATATATTTAAATACTTACATATTAAATGATATGATATCTGGGATTTGCTTCAAAATAATCAGTGTAGAGGGCAGGGAGTAAGTGGGTACAAATACAGATGAAACAATATCAGCCCAGTATTATTGATAATTGTTGAAGCTGGGTGATGTACATGTTGGGTTTATTATGTTATTCTTTCTTTTGTCTATATGATTGAAATTTTCCATATTAAAAAGTTAAAAAATTAAGGCCCCCCTTTTCAAATAGTTCTATTTGGTTTGGCCTCAAGATTGTGTATAATTAGGTAATAAAATTCTCCAGATTCACTTTAACCCTTTCACAGTTAATTTAAAAATGATAAAACTTACAGCATTACTCTTTCTTATAAGGAATGTTTTCTGAATTTTCTTATCAATGCCCTAGGAATATATTCTGTACTTGTGGCTCTAATGGCTGGCAAGGCAGAAGTAAGATATAATCCTGCAGTTATACAACCCCCAGTGATAGCTGAGCTTATCCGAGAGCTTGGATTTGGAGCCACTGTGATAGAGAATGCTGATGAAGGGGATGGTGTTTTGGAACTTGTTGTAAGTAAGAATTTTTGTGATTAACAAAATTTCCTGGAAAAACTTAGTGAGGATTCAGAAAAGATAGTTCCAAAGATAATTAAAGGTTGGGAAAATGAGATATAAAAGGAAAATTAAGGAAACTGGAAAATGGTAGGATAAGAGAGGACTTAGTGGTGGCCTTCAAGCATGGAATGTCAAAGATAATCACATCTCTATTAAGAACCAAAAAAGAATTGGGTTTGAATGAATAAATGAAAATCAGCTTTTAAAATATAGTATGATTCCTACCTAGTAGCTTATAATAGAATAAATTCCAGATGCATTAAAGACTTAAATTTTATAAATGAAATAACAAAACCCAGGTATAAGGTGTATCGGTTTAAAATGCACATTTTATTCAACCCAGCAACTAAGTCTTATTTGTAAAACTTAAACAATTCAAACAAAAAAATTTGACCCTGCATCAAAATAAGTTCTACCTCAAACAAAAATTTGAATGAGAAAAATGAAACCATGAAATTACTATAAGAAATATTTGGAGGTTCTTTTTTTCAATATTTTATTACAAAAATTTTAGACATCAGGAAACTGAAAAGAATTGTACAGTGGACACCCTTATAAATACCACCTATTAACATTTACTGTATTTGTTTTATATTACATCAGTCCATTAATTCATTGGTGGAAATAATTTTAGACTAACAAATAAGTTGCAAAAGTAGTACAGAGAATTTCCATGTAGCCTCTATCGAGCTTTCCTCAAGGACAACATCTAACCCATCACTTAAGAAATGTTAGAATAAGGAAGGGCCTTTCTAAATATATAAAATCCATGAAATAAAAGATTGATAAATTCAGGTACATAAAATTTTCTTCTTGGGAGAAAAATACCATAAAGTCAAAAGGCAAGTAAAATAATTGTAATTCATATGAAAGATGAAAGTTAATTTTCTTAATATATGAAGAATTGTTATAAATCAGTAAGAGCTAGCAACCCAAAAGAAAGATGATAAAGGATATGAACTGACAGTTTACAGAAAAGCCAGAACAGTACCTCTGTAAACATAAGAAGATGTTTAGCTTCATTTGTAATAAGAGTAAAGCAAATTAAAATTGCATTGTGCCATTTTTCACCTATTAAGATTGGTAAAGATAAAAAACAATTTTGTGAACACTGTGTGTATGACCTTTCTTGTTGGTGGAGTACCAACTGATAAGGCTCAGCAGAGGAATTCGGCAGTATCTATCAAAAGTAAAGTTGCACATAGCCTTTGACTCAGAAATTCCACTTGTAGGAAGTTATCCAAAAGACATATTTGCATATGTATGAAATGATGTGTGCAAAGGTATTCATTATAGTATTGTTTTTTTTTTATTTTTTATTTTTCAGAGGGCACCTCATATTTATTGATCAAATGGTTGTTTACAGCAAGAAAATTCTGTATAGGGGACTCAATGCACAATCATTAATCAACCCCAAGCCTAACTCTCAACAGTCTCCAATCTTCTGAAGCATAACAAACAAGTTCTTACATGGTGAACAAGTTCTTACATAGTGAATAGGTTCTTACATGGTGAACAATGCAAGGGCAGTCATATCACAGAAACTTTCAGTTTTGATCATGCATCATGAACTATAAACAATCAAGTCAGATATGATTATTCATTTGATTTTTATACTTGATTTATATGTGAATCCCACATTTCTCCCTCATTATTTTTTTAAATAAAATGCTGAAGTGGTAGGTAGATGCAAGATAAAGATAGAAAGCATAAGTTAGTGCTGTAAGAAGGCAAGTGTAGATGATCAGGTCTGTGCCTATAGACTAAGTATTAATCCAAGCTAGACAAGGGCAACAAAACATCCACGGATGCAGAAGATTTCTCTCAAAACAGTGGGGGGTGAGGTTCTAAGCTTCGCCTCTGTTGACCCCCAATTTCTCACCTGATGGCCCCCTGTGACTGTGCCTGTCTTAGGTTGTTCCTCCCTTGAGGAATCTTACCCATCTCTGGCTAACCAGCCGTCCTCCAGGGCCATACAGGGAAATGTAAATTTGGTAAGTGAGAGTGAAGTAATATTGTTTGAAAAGGTTAGCTTTTTACTTCTTTGCAGATTTATGCCTGGTGGCTTCTATGCCCAGCACTTGTCTTGAGGTATCTTTACCACTTGGAAGAATTATGATACTCGGTCATTTTAAATATGAGGCACGAATTCTACTAAAGGGCTGTAATTAGGAAGGAAGAAGAAAAGCTGTAGAAGTAGCAGACAGAAGAAAACATGGGAAGATTGATTATTTCTTTGACATAACTTCTTGTAGAGTAACATAAGCAAGTATAGGTTTTAACACACTACTAATTAGATTGCATACACACATTAACAGAATAGGAATACAGATGCATAACAAAAGCAGACCTACAGTTACCGGCCATATCCAGGGAAACCAAGAAAACCAGTTAGGTAACCCAGGCATTTGTGAAAACTTATCAATAATATGATGGATATTGTCTAACTGATTTTGAATTGTTTGAGAAAAATCAGACAAATTAAAACAACACATTCCTGGAAACTGTTCACATCCCATGTGTTCTTTTAACAATAGATAGTCTATAGTAGCACGATTTTGAAGTACTGCAACTCACACTTCTCCTAATTCTTGGTTGAGTTCCAACAGTATAGAATTAGTCAAATTTGTTGTTCTACTGTATGCACAGGCCAGCTTAGATATGTCCTTCTGCATTCCAATGGCAAGTCCAGGAAGTGGCAGGATGAATGCAGCTACAACTGCAACAGCGCCAGGATCTTTATTGAATTTTTTTGATGGTCATCTTCTGGAATGACTCTTCCAGAGGATGTTGATGTTGGAAGTTCTTCTTCATATCGTGTCTTAATTTGCTTTCTGGGTAGCCAAATTAGGCTTTGATCCTCTATAAAAACACAAACAAACCCTTTGCCCACACTTTGATATGACTTTTATACCATTGTGAAGAACCTATTGGAGACCACCACACAGGAACTGCTTTTTTTTCTTATAGAAAGAAATACTATCACAAAAATGCACTTCCATAACTGATCATCTGGCACCCTTTAAAATATCAAAATTAAGGATATGTAAAGCATGCATTAATCATTGATTTGCAGTTAATTTTATCCTATCATGGAGTAATCCCTCCCCTTTTTTGTTATCGTTAATCTACAATTACATGAAGAACATTATGTTTACTAGGCTCTCCCCTACACCAAGTCCGCCCATAAACCCCATTAGAGTCACTGTCCATCAGCATAGTAAGATGTTGTAGAATCACTACTTGTCTTCTCTGTGTTGCACAGCCCTCCCCTTTCCTCCATTCCCCACATTGTACATGCTAATCATAATACCTCCTTTCTTCTTCCCCGCCCTTATCCATCCCTACCCACCCATTATCCCCAGCCTCTTTCCCTTTGGTAACTGTTAGTCCATTCTTGGGTTCCATGATTCTGCTGTTCTTTTGTTCCTTCAGTTTTTCCTTTGTTCTTACACTCCATAGATGAGTGAAATCATTTGATATTTGTCTTTCTCCGCTTGGGTTATTTCACTGACCGTAATACCCTCTATCCACATCCATGCTGTTGCAAATTGTAGGATTTGTTTTCTTCTTATGGCTGAATAATATTCCATTGTGTATATGTACCACCTCTTCTTTATCCATTCATCTACTGATGGACACTTAGAGTGCTTTCATTTCTTGGCTTTTGTAAATAGTGCTGCAATAGACATAGGGGTGCATCTGTCTTTTTCAAACGGGAGTGCTGCATTCTTAGGGTAAATTCCTAGAAGTGGAATTCCTGGGTCAAATGGTAAGTCTATTTTGAGCATTCTGAGGAACCTCCATACTGCTTTCCACAATGGTTGAACTAATTTACATTCCCACCAGCAGTGTAGGAGGGTTCCCCATTCTTAACAACCTCACCAACATTTGTTGTTTGTCTTTTGGATGGTAGCAATCCTTACTGGTGTGAGGTGATACCTCATTGTGGTTTTAATTTGCATTTCTCTGATAACTAGTGATGTCGAGCATCTTTTCATGTGCCTGTTGCCCATCTGAATTTCTTCTTTGGATAACTGTCCAGCTCCTCTGCCCATTTTTAATTGGATTATTTGCTTTTTGTTTGTTGAGGTGTGTGAGCTCTTTATATGTTTTGGATGTCAACCCTTTATTGGATCTGTCATTTACGAATATATTCTCCCATACTGTAGGGTACCTTTTTGTTCTATTGATGGTGTCTTTTGCTATACAGAAGCTTTTCATCTTGATATAGTCCCACTTGTTCATTTTTGCTTTTGTTTTCCTTGCCCGGGGAGATATTTTCATGAAGACGTCACTAATGTTATTGTCCAAGAGATTTTTGCCTATGTTTTTCTCTAAGAGTTTTATGGTTTCATGACTTACATTCAGGTCTTTGATCCATTTTGAGTTTACTTTTGTGTATGGGGTTAGACAGTNCAGTACCAAATTGTCTTGATTACTGTGGCTTTGTAGTAGAGCTTGAATTTGGGGAGCGAGATCCCCCCAAGTTTATTCTTCTTTCTCAGGATTCCTTTGGCTATTCGGGGTCTTTGGTGTTTCCATGTGAATTTTTGAACTATTTGTTCCAGTTCGTTGAAGAACATAGTTGGTAATTTGATAGAGATTGCATCAAATCTGTATATTACTTTGGGCAGGATGGCCATTTTGACTATATTAATTCTTCCTAGCCAAGAGCATGGGATGAGTTTCCATTTGTTGGTTTCTTCTTTAATTTCTCTTAGAGTGTCTTATAGTTTTCAGAATATAGGTCTTTAACTTCTTTTGTTAGGTTTATTCGTAGGTATTTTATTCGTTTTGATGCAATTGTGAATGGAGTTGTTTTCCTGATTTCTCTTTCTATTGGCTCATTGTTAGTGTATAGGAAAGCCACAGATTTCTGTGTGTTAATTTTGTATCCTGCAACATTGCTGTATACCGATATCAGTTCTAGTAGTTTTGGAGTGGAGTCTTTA